AGGGTGTGGAGCTGCAGCTGTTACTGCAGCCTGTTACACCTGCTGTAAGCCCCTCCAGAGGAAGAGAGATGTGAAGAGTTACTAGTGATACAGGTAAGGTCAGATCCACTGGGCCTACCTCATCCCTCTCCCCAAATCCTCCCCCATCTTGGGATGTAAGTGGCCCTGGTGAATTGTGCTCCATATCACACTGCTCAGGCATCAAGTACTATACTACCAGAACTATACCACCTGTATTGTGTCCATGACCCTGCAGACCAGGGTGTGCCTAAGACTAGGACTGACCCCAAACAGCAAGCAGAGCTAGTGTGCATATTTGTAGTTTTGTGTTGGTTTTTTTCCCCCCCCCGGCAGGTTCCCCCTCAAAAAAGATGAGAAACTGATTCACAATATTAAACTTACAGCACAAATAGCAGTGTCTGCAGTACAATGGTCCAATTCCAATCTCCGTTTCTAATTTGATAGGGATAAATTCACAGTTTGATTGGTGGACTTAAAAGTTGAATAAAAGCTCAACATACCTGCACCTGTATGCCCTCTGAAATGTTGGATCTTGGCCCCTGAGCTCCATTCCCAACAGGCTACTGTGTTATCAAAGGATCCCGTTACAAGCTTTTGCTCATCAAACTTCACTGTAGCACAAGTGTGTGTCTGGATACCATATATGCACTGCCCTGTGCTTACATCCCACAGCTTTGCAGACAAGTCATCTGAACCTATAGTTTAAGAACACGATAGCTGGCTGCATTAAAGTGACATGTAATTCCCAGACTTCTACTGGGCTTTTCCCCATGTTTGTCTTAAATTAAGTACTTCCTCTCCACTCACGCAGGGTGAGACTTACTTAATGAGGAAAGGTCTAGTTTTCAGGGAACGATGAAGTCTCAGTATTACACAAACACAACTGCAACAGTTTCAACTTAATTGCTAGGTGCATGGCCTCCCAGTTTCCCACCTTCACTCCTTACAATTCCATCCCTCCTCCAACACCACAGCTATCATAAATCAGCTTAAACAAACTATATTGTTACCAAACAAATGGTAAAGCTCAAAGATGAGAAATCTTTATGCATCATAATAGACTCCAAGGCTACTGGGCTTCCCACCTGTACAAAGAAGTCCATCTTTATAGTAAAGTGCATATACTCTGGCACTATGTCCAATTAATGAGGATGTCTCAAAGGCTTCATGGTCCTTCAGTTGCTTCATTCTTAAAATAGCCTTCAAGTAAACCTTCTTCCAATGCAGAGGGTCCTGAACAGAATCATCTATCTGCCAACCCAAGTTCTTACAAGCAGTTTGCCACACCTCTGTGCAGGCACTTATAACCTTATTCCACTGCTTTGACACGAGGCAACATGTGAGTAAGGTCTGAGGATCAAGCCATTTTAACAAATAAAAACTGAGTTCCAGTGGAAGGAGTTTGAGGAAGTCCCGCTTAAGGAGAATCTCTAGGTTATTGGAGAGGTGCCTGAGCTGGACTGCTCCACTCAAGCTAATCAGGTGATCCAGAGTTTCATTTTTCTGCAAGTCCGTCAGAGAAAGAAATGTAACAGAAATGTTATCAAGCCATGCTTCAAAGTCCTTTTTCTCCATAAGGTTATGGAAAAATTTACCTGTGGTACATCAAAATATTGTGTTAGTTCTGTTCAAAAAGATAATGTAAACATTTCTCATCTTTAATCATTGATTTATCAGCATTCTCAACCTCATGTTGATAATGTAAGTCAGTGTACAAAAAAGTACTTTTCAGGCATACAATAGATAACTATATAGCTTTTACAAAGTAGATTCAATGGTCTTAGGAAATGTATTTGGCCATAGTAAGTTAATGTTTCTCTTTTACTAAGTACTAGTTTCATTGTTTTCCCTGTAAACATGCTTTAGATCCGTCTTAGTCCCTCTTGAGTATGGGCCATGCTACCTTCACCTCTCTTTGGGTAGAACCATGCTCTTCAACTACCTTCAGACTGGATCTCTGAATATCAGCCACCCTGTTTCCCACTGTATTAATGCAACAGCCCAGGTGGGTTTGGCATTTGTAAGCCCTTTCATTCCAGGAACCTGTGACAGCAACTTATTAAAATGAATCAAAAACAGCTCATTCGAAACACATTCATGCAAAGGTACAAAGCACACAGACCAAAGAGTAAAACCAGTAAACATCTATATGTATATTTTCCCTTACCTAACCCTTAATCCTTCCTTGCCAACTCTGGTATAATTTATCTAGATCAGTTAGCACCATCTCTGAGTTGGTAGAAGCAGACTATTCTGTTGCAGTTTGTCTCTCTCTCATGCCTGTCAGCTCTCACTGATGCTCCCTGGCAAATAACTCAACCAACTCCCCTTTTTTGGCCTGGTGTCCTGCAATGGTTTAGTATCCTCCTTTGCTCCTAGGTTTAGCACTGGGAAGAGCAAGCCATTCTAGCTCGGATGGAGCCAGGTAAGTAGCTTCTTCCCAATTAATGGCTCAGCCACTGTTATCTTAACCTCTTTTGAAGCAAGTTTCCCCCTTACAGCTTCTTCTGATTTAACTCTATGCATTCAGGCAGGCTAATATCATACCAAAAGTGAGGTACATAAGACTTTATGTACATCCTCCATAAGATATAGATTCATATAGGTATAGACAAATAAGCAGTACTTCAAGCTGAGGTCACTAAAAATCACCATGAGTTATTTATTCTTTCAAAGAGTCTCTCACAAGCCACTTACACTGGTTAACCTATTAGACAGCTAGTTGAACCTCGGCTGTAGAAATCAAAATCCAAGATACTGAAAAGGCATTAATTTAAGATTGCAAGAGTCAGTAATAAATTTGTCTCCTATAGCAAAATATGTTAAAGTAAGATATGTGTCCGAAAAGCATTGCAAGGAGGAAAGGTAAAGAACAGTTGTGAAGACTTATGAAGACACTACATGGAATGGTCTAGATCAGGGGTTCTCAAACTGGGGGTCGGGACCCCTCAGGGGGTCGTGAGCTGTCAGCCTCCATCCCAAACCCCGCTTTGCTTCCAGCATTTATAATGGTGTTAAATATATAAACAAATGTTTTTAATTTATAAGGAGGGGTCGACTCAGAGGCTTGCTATGTGAAAGGGGTCACCAGTAAAAAAGTTTGAGAACCACTGGTCTAGATATCTTAGTCCTGCCATGCGTGCAGGGGACTGGACTAGATGACTTCTCAAGGTCCCTTCCAGTCCTATGATTCTACGATCCTGACAGTATCTAGACATAGCTTCCTCTATGTTAGGAAAATGTAGCTTTTTCTGTACCAGTGCTACAAACAACAGAAGCTACTGTGTAGACTGTGTAGACAGACAGGCTTTTAATACTGTGTAAATCTGTTCAGTCTACACCATAGTCTCCCTGTTGATAGCATTGGTGCAACAAAATGCTTAGTTTTCCCATACATAGACAATGCCAAAGGAACAGCAGATCTGCAGGAAGAGCAGCCCATTGACCTACAGATAACAAGAGTTTACTTCCCTCAAGATTAATAATGGCTTCTAAATTAATAGAAGTCTTAGGGAAAGACAGCTAACATTATGACCATAGTTTAATATGAGTTTTGTTAATTTCTCACAGATACTCCCATCTTGCACTCTGGTGAAGGGTTTTCCATGTAAAGCATGTATCAGCTTCTTAAAATCTCTGATCCTTGTTTGTTGTATACACACAATAGCTAGAGCCAGTAGTTATTACATGGACTGAGGAACGAAACTCAATCCTATATATATATATTTTTAAACCAAAATCTGTTCTGGTTTCTGACTAGTAAGTCTAATGATTTTGAGTAGAACAAAAAGCTTAACATCCAGCTGACCTACCCATCTCCTGAGTATGCAAATGTTGCAGAAATTGTTCTGAGTTTTCCAGCATTTGTTTCGTTACTGATTTTGGTCAAGCATCTAACTCAACAGTCTACTGCTTTTAGTCATAGTGGTGGTAATGTGTTAAGTGTACAGTTCACCAAATACAGAACAGACCCCGATAATCAGATGCTGTCTGACCACTTTTTTCTGTCAAAACTTCAGGCAACTTTTCGCAAGCCTTGCTAAGACCTGAACTATATAACATCGTACCCTTTGTTAAAGGACAAATGTAGCACTAGTTGTGGAACGATTCCCAGCCTGGGCATGCTTGCAGGCTAGAACCTGGTTTTCACGGATTCTAAGGCCAGAAGGGACCATTGTGATCCTATACCTGGTTATTGTGGAAGGTGGGGAGGGGAAGTGTCGCCACTTGCCAGCTGCGCTGTTCACTGCAGAATGTCGGGCGCTTCTCTACGCTATGGCGGGGGGCTCCGGGAATACTCACCTTAGGTAGGTGTCAGGCGCAAAGCGTCTCTCAGCAGGCACCAGCCATTGCTCACTTGGCTCCCTGGAGCCCAACAGGAGCTGGGATTCCTCTGCAGCCATTTCTCCTGCAGCAGCAAAACAGAGATTCAGTCACTGCCTCTCCACGAGCCCCGCTTAGCCGCTGCACCCCAGGATCCCGCCCCGCGCGCTCGCCGAGACCTTAGCACCCACCCACACCTCGATCCCTCCCCGCAGGGGTCACTGGGGCCTTGGGAGGAGGTGGCCGGGGCCCTGGAGGGTGAAGTCGGGTCCTGCCCCACCCCTCTCCCCAGGGGTCGAACCTGCCGCCACTAGATCCCACTACAGGCACAGCCTCTACCCGAGCAGCTTCCGGCGCGCACACCACACGTCAGTGTCTTGCGCCCCGGCCTATCGCTAGTTCCGGTCTCCCGGCCCCACGGAGCGAAAGGGATCGAGAGAGAAGGCGGCTGGGTTGCGGCGAACTGCCGTCGAGCGAGCAGGCAGAGACTCCGCCCAGAGCCATCCCTTCAGCAGAGCGAGGCTGGCCTGTCCGGGGACTCAGAGCTAGACCCATAGAGCTCGCTAGTCCTCCACGCCTAGAAAATCCCCGGAAACGCTTTGCGGGGGACTGGACATAAGGGACCGTCGGTCCCTCAGTCTGTTCCCTCGGTACCTGGAGCCTCAACTGCGAGGCCCGGCGCGCGTCAGGCTCCGTGCGCGCGGTAGCTGGTTCCCGTCTGAGGGATTGGGGGGAGGGGGTGCTGTCCGCACAGTCCCGCAGCTGCTGCCCCCTCCCTGGGTTGTGCATACGGGGAGCGCTGGGCTGGTGCCCATCACTGGAGAGTAAATAGCCCCTTCCAATCCCTGTGAGTGGGGCACCTATTCCTGCGCCCCGTAGACTCTTCTCCTGAGCTCTGGGTTCTCCCTCCCTTCCCGGCCCTACAGAGAGGGGTTTGTAACTCTCCACAACTACCGTACTCCAGTGACTTTTCTATTGTTGCTTGTCCCGTTATTTCGTTAGGCTGAGGCCAGGCTCATCGGACTGCCATTGCCAGGACAGCGCGACTTTGGACAGATGGCTGCTGAGGAATCCCAACCCCTGTTGAGCTCCAGGAAGCCAAGTGAGCAATGGCTGCTGCCTGCTGAGCGCTTCCCTGTGCTGGATGTCTACCTGAGGTCAGAGCCCTTCCTTTCCTGAGCTGGAGACACTGGAGTTCCTGGCTGAGTAGTAACAAAGTGTCAGTGTATGACTGCCATCCCTACTCTGATGTTTCCAGTGAAGTCTTTCCAGAGGCTTTGCTTGCTCCTTCCCATGTGGGGCTCCACCCTACATGCCATTTGGCTTTGGAATATTTGACCTTGCTCCTGACTAGACTCCATTCATACTTTCTCTAGCTCTCATTTGAGTTCTTTTTTGTACTTTTATTGAATTTGTCAATTAGTTAAAAGCGTTTTTTTTTTTTTTGACATAGCTCTCACAGAACAAACTAAAAGGCCTCAAACAATACAGTATAGTTTTATAATGTGGCATTCCTGCAACTCTCTCCTGAGACATAGCGGCAAGCTCAGTGATTAATATGGAAGAATGTCACAGTATGAGTTCTGGGCACAGCGAAGTAGAGTGCCTAATGGGTGGGTGGGAAAAAGACTCAGTGAGGAAAGCTGGTTGACATCTGGCTGACTGAAAATGGAGCCAAGGAGGTAAGTTTTAAACAACACTTAGAAAGGGTTTGGATGTACATCTGGATGTCTTCTAAAAGATATGCTCTAGCTCAACCAAAAGTGCTTGAGGCTGGAATCACTCTGTCACCTGTGTGATGCTGAAGGTCAGGTCAGATCAGATCATCATAATGGTCCTTTTTGGCCTTAAAAACTATGAACGAGGGCAGAGTGCTCTAGTGAGCTGATGTGACAGTATGAAGGACCTGATATGAAGGCGAAGGGCTCAGAGAAAATGCAGTTTTTGGGAAAAGAGTTTGCCAAGTTAAATGGGAACACAAGCAGTGGTGAAGACAAAGGCAAGTCTTGTAGTGGGTCATGAGCAAGTGTAGGCCCTTCAAGACAAGGTTGATGTAATTATGTTTGTAACAGGATTCTGAATAGACTGTTTGACTTCCAAGAGCCGCTATAGCCAAAGAGAAGGGAGTGGGGTCTTGAAAGCAACAGAGTAAGGAGTAAAACCTGGAGGCACTATGGTCTAATGGATTGGGACTGGGACTTGGGAGACATGGGTTCTAGTCCAGATTTGCCACTCTGATGATATGACCTCAGTGAAGTCATTTTGTCATATTTTTACTCATCTTTTGAAAAGCATGTTGAGAAGTATGGATGGAAAGAGATCTTGAAGTTCTAAAAGTTCTGATTCTAGTTTAAAAAATAAAGATCCTTCAGTTCAAGCTGGACTTTGTCGTGGTACAAAAGTAAGTAGGAGTTAGAGGATGACTGAAAAAATGTTTTTAAAAACATACATGCAGAAACAGAGAGTTGGCTTTGAGTGCTGGGAGATTTTTTTTTTTTTGCTGTATCCAGACCCACCTTGAACTAGTAAATTTTCCAGTCTAAAATCAAAATGGCTTAGAGACGGGATCTGATTGCAGAAATATGTTTAGAGCAGAGGTGGAAAGTTTCGAATTCTCTTGCATACTTTTAATCTCCTGTTAAATACAGGTTACTGTGAAATAGTAAAGATAAGGTTTTGACACACTTCTGAAAATAAAAGGGTTTGTGAGATTGTGCATGGGTGGGAAGATGATGGATTGTTGTTTGAGGTTAGATAACAACTGATGCAGTTCTCTCAGCCATGTCAGCAGTTTCTGTGGAGAATCAGGTGACAGAAGTTGTGGCTATGGTTTGAAACTTCTTAAGAAAAGAGTTTTTTTTGTGCTTAAACTAGCTGAAATGTTTGATTCCAAATGAGTCAGTAACCCCCCCCCCCCCCCCACACACACACACAAAAAGTAGGTAAATTGCCATTGCCTTTATTACTAATTTCATTGGCTTTGCCAATGGCGGAGGGGGAGGGAGGGAGGGGAGGGAAGAAACATTTTCTAATTCTAGCTCTGAGAGAATTAAACATCTGTAAACTCAAGTCCAAATCAATATGTGTGCACATAGACGTACTGGTTCCCCTCCAAGTACTGATTTTATGGTGTGCCCACTATGACTATATTTTATTTTAGCTGTGATCCTAGGCTGTTGACTGTGACTTATAGCTTGAAATAGCTGGTCCCATTGAAGTCAATGGAAAAACTCCGATTGACTTTAGTGGCACCAGGATTTCCCCGTTTTAAAAATTATGATTGAGTGATACTTATTGAAAGAGATGTTCCAGTTTATGTTTTGTTCAGGTTCTAACCTCACTTGCTACTACCTTGATAGCCTTCTCCACCTCTAACTCTCCCTAAAATGATACCAAAATAGGCAATTTAAATTGTGTGTTCTGGAACACTTAAATTACTTTTTTTTTTATGTATTCAGACATCTCCAGATTCTTACCTGGATTGAGATTGTCTGCTGGCTTGCACTGAGGATTCTGAAACATTGAACTGATCTATTTACATACTTGATTGACCAAGTCACACAATTTGTACATATAAAGGATATTATAAAACAGAATTTTCTTTGGCTTTTGCAGTAATGTGAGAACCAACAATTGTATACACATGCAGAATTTCTGCTTGACTCATGCCTGGCTCTTTTACAGCAAAGTCCAGAACAGAAAGCTCTATCTGGCCACCTTTGCTGCTGTTTTGGGACCCCTCAGCTTTGGATTTGTCCTAGGTTACAGTTCACCAGCTATTCCAGATCTGAAGAAAATTAGTGACCCTAAATTAAGATTAGACACCAACGAAGCATCATGGTTTGGGGTAAGTCTCTGCAAGATGCATTATAATAATGTGTGACTGATTTGGTAAGAAAAAATTCCTTACACGTTTTCAGTTGTGGGGCAGGTCTATTTTGAGAAGGCTATCTGTTTGTATGAGACTAGGCAGGTTGGGTTTAATAATAGAATATGGACTCTTTCAGTTCTAGGTAATTTGTTCAAATTTTAGTCTGAGTGACTGAAAGTTGTTTACACCTGATGGCTGTTTGGTAGTCTATGAAATGAATTTAGAGTTTTCTGCCTCGTTCTATGAATTCATCGCACTTGGCATTAACTGGCCTCCTCTTGGCAGTTTCAATAGAATGTCCAAAGATTAAATGGGCCCTGGAGACTGAGCTCCCCTCTCTCATTGCTAAATGAGATTGCGCTATATTGGGAGCAAAGCATGTTGTAGCAGCTTGCTGGGCCTCTGCTTAGGCAGCATCTCTTTACTTAAACAAACAATTGAGGCCCCAGGACAGTGAAGCTGGCCACTCTCTCGAACCTTAAGTTGTACTTTCTAAAAAGATTCATGGTGGTTCTGTTTTTAACTGACTATAGCTAGTATATCTTTTAATTTTCTTTCTCTCTCACTCACTCACACTCACACACCCCCTACTATCCTTCTGAGGTGAATTAATGATCTTTGGGAATTGCACTACTTTATGAATGGATAGGTAGGCTAGTCTTTGTCCCTTAGTCTAATGACTTCCGTACATCATCTTTTAAACCAAAGAGCATTTTTGGAAAGGCTGTAGAATGTATAGTCATTTATCTATTTGTGTGTGCTTGTTTTCTGAAGTCTGTAGTAACATTAGGAGCTGCTGCTGGAGGAATACTGGGAGGCTGTATGGTGGATAAAGTTGGGAGGAAGCTGAGTTTGATGCTGTGCTCAATACCATATGTCTCTGGGTTTACAATTATCATATCCGCCCAGAATGTCTGGATGCTTTACATTGGACGAATACTGACTGGGTTAGCCAGTGGCATTACTTCACTTGTTGTTCCAGTAAGTGAAACATTTTTATTTCTTTCTTATTTATTCCGCATAGTCTGGAAAAATGTTGCATGAGATAATATAATCTTAAAACCAGGAGTGGCACCACAGCTATGGCACCCATACAACCTTAATTCTACCTTGTAGTGACACCACGCGATAGCCATATGACTATGATCATAGCATATTAGTGTTTGTGGTCTTTTATATTAAATAGCATTGACTTTAAAGATGGATTACATTTATTTCCTCTTGGTGTCTCTCTGAAAGGCGAAACTTAGGTGATTTGGGTTTCCCAATGGCATTTCCAGTCCTCAATATGTTTGGATTTCTTTTCAGTTTAATGTTAACTCTGAATTTCCCAGGTTTATAATACTTGCTGTTAGTGCGTCACTGTAACACTGTTAAAAAAAATATTATTATTATTATTATTATTATTATTATTATTTTAAATTATTTTCGGGCTTCACTCCATTTTAACACAGTTTTTGTCCAGGAATTTCCTTGTCCTTCTTAACATTTATTTGTTTAATACATAAAGAGTAAATAAAACAAAGACTACATATCTTCAATTTTTAATATCTTTTTCTAAAACTTTTAAAACTCTTAAGGTCAGATTCGCCACTAGGCTGTGGCTGCTTTACAGCATTTTGGAGCAGTGCAAAGCAGGCAGAATGTATACATCAGTTTACTGCTATCTCCCGACTTTAATTTTTCTGTGTGTGTGTGTGTGTGTGTGTGTGTGTGTGCGCGCACACGCTAGTTTCCCCCTCAGTTTCCCCTACCTTCACCCCTCCCCTTCCCTTTTGTCCTCCTTGGTGAGCAGATCTAGTGTAATTCATAGTTTTGAAGGGATCCCAGTGTTTCCAGCTCTTGCAAAGTAAATGTAACCTTAAGTCTCTAGAATTAGACATCAAATAAAAATTCCAAAATTCATTATTGTCTTAAATCATGAGACTTCAAAAAAAATTGTTTTTTAAACACTTGTGATTGGCATACGGTATAGCTGCATTTTCCATTACTGAAGGTTTATTTGTTATTAGACTGCATTAATGACTTCAGAGAAACTCTCAGAACTGTTCACTTTCAAAAGGGCTGCCCTATTCTGTTCTATAGGACTGAGGCTTCAGTTAATTAGCCTCTGGCTTCAGCCCTTATTGTTTGTTATAAGAGATGGCAGAAACTTTGAAAGAAAGGGGTTCTTTGTGAAATTATCTGAAAGAACACTTATTTGTCTATCCTTGCCAAAGAAGAAACTTTCCCTTATGAAGAAAAATGGCATTAAAGACCATTAATCCTATTTTTCTCCCCCTCCCCCCAACAACAACAACAAAAAAACCAACCTTCAAATGTAGCCTATTCCTCAGAGGGATTTCAATTATATGGGAATTTTTAAAGTCTATTTTGTGACTAAAATTATTAGGGGGACACAAGGTTTAAGACCCAATGCGGGGATGACCTGGTATTTACCAGAGATTGATTTGATTTGTTGTTTGTTTGTTTTTTACCAGGTAAAATCATGGTTGTTACTGCCCTGGGAAAAACTAGTTAGTCCCAATTTAAGGCATTTTCTATTTGAAAAACTATTTTATTAATGCATATCACATTACACTTAGTTTTAGTTACATATGCAGACTGTGGTTACATAAGGCAGCAGGGTTGAACAAATAAAATGTAAAACTGCAATTATGATATGGAATGTATGTCTATATATTTTGGTTTGGTATTTTTCTCAAAGAAGTTATACATGTCATTTCTCCTATTTCAGTTCTCAGTATTACATAAACAAAAATCAAACATTTTGATTTGATGAAAAATGACAATGGAGAGGTGTAGGCTTGAAGCATTAAGCAATCGGAAGCATGCAGAATTGCAGACTACCATTCCAGATCAATTTGGCCATATAGCATTTGTAGCAGAAGACAAACTTTGATGTAGTGTATAGACAGCCTATTCCTCAGTTTTGAATGGATGTATCCAAAGCTTTAAAAAATTTGTTCTATGCTTGCAGGACACTGATGCAATTATTTTTTTCTGGTTTAAATCTCTATTTACCAGCACCCTGTCCTAAACTAGTTTTTCCCAGGAAATTGTGAATTCTGACCCAATATGAAGTTTCTTATGGGACTATCTTAAAATGAACTTGTTTGACTTAACTTGAACAGATTTACTTTTAAATTCTTAAAACTCATTCTCTGCCCAAAGAGTAAGGACACTGATTTTGGGAAGGAGCCAATATATTCTTCACATGTAACAAAAGATGAATCCCTGCTTTAAATGCAAAACCTAACTCTGTCATAACTATGGAGCCATGGTGGACACCTCCATAATCGCTTATAGGGCTCAACTGACTTTAAAAGTGGGGTTTTATGATAGGTGTGACACTACCAGAATAGTGTATGGTAAGGCAGGAGCTGGCAAAATCAGATTTCCATTATCTGAAACAGGGTAGGAAGTATGGAGTTTTTTATGTTGAATTAAAATGCTAAAGTCTTAATCCATGACCTACAAAGGGTTTTTTTCATAATACAAGAACAAGGGGCCACCAAATGAAATTAGTAGGTAGCAGGTTTAAAACAAACACAAGAAAGTATTTTTTCACGCAACGCACTGTCAACCTCTGGGACTCCTTGCCAGAGGGTGTTGTGAAGGCCAATACTATAACAGGGTTCAAAAGGGAGTTAGATAGATTCATGGAAGATAGGTCCATCAGTGGCTATTAGCCAGGATGGGCAGAAATGGTGTCCCTAGCGTCTGTTTGCCAGAAGCTGGGATTGGGTGACAGGGCATGGATCACTTGATGATAACCTGTCTGTTCATTCCCTTTGGGGCACCTGCCATTGGCCACTGTCAGAGGACAGGATACTGGGCTTGATGGACCTTTGGTCTGACCCAGTATGGCCGTTCTTATGTTCTTAAGGGTTGTGTGCAGATGAATCCTCGTGCACAGAGCCCCATTCGAGTCAGTGGAGTTGTCTGGGGCTCCACCTCTGTGTATCTGTTACCAGAATTGTGGACTTATTTTGTAGTTCGCATTCAGCATCCATGTCTGGGATGCTAACTTATTGTCTTCTATGCAAGCGGTGGCATTTTGATTTCTGTTAATTTTTGGCACGTTTGTTGGTATTTTTGGCAGAGCCTTTCATGGAACCAATGTAAATTCCCAAAAGTGACACTGCTGGTTCTAGTCGTTCCAGTGTAGCTGCTTATTATTCATGTTGGGACAATGTGGCTGTATTTTAACAAGTTCTTTTCAATATCAGCTGTTCTTACTTTTTTAAAACTTTTTTTTGTTAATATTTTCTAATTATGCATTTTTAGGTGTATATTTCTGAAATATCTCACTCAAAAATTCGAGGAACACTTGGCTCATGTGTTCAGCTGATGGTGGTGACTGGTATACTGGGAGCTTATGTTGCAGGTATTGCACTTAGTTATACAATCCTAGAAATGTTGGGCTGGAAGGGACCCTGAGTGGGCAGCAAATCCAGCCCCCTGTGCTGTAGCAGGACCAAGTAAACCTACACCATTCCTGACAGGTGTTTGTCCAACCTATTCTTAAAAACCTCCAATGGAGGATTCCACAACCTCCCTTGGAAGACTGTTCCAGAGCTTAACTACACTTAAAATTAGAGAATTTTACGTAATAGCTAACCTAAATATCCTTTGCTGCAGATGAAGCACGTTACTACTTCCGTCTTGAGTGTACATGGAGAACAGTCCTCTTTCTAATAGCCTTTGACATATTGGAAGACTGTTATGAGGTCCCACCAGTTGTTTTTTCTCAAGACTAAATGTGCCTAGTGTGTTTTTGTTTTTAACCTTTCCTCATAGGTCAGGTTTTTCTCAACCTTTTATTATTTTGATTGCTGTCCTCTAGGTTCTGTCCAGTTTGTCCACTTCTTTTCTAAAGTGCGGTGCCCAGAATTGGACACAGTACTCCAGCTGAGGCCTCACCAGTGCCAAGTAGATTGGGACAACTACCTCCCATGTCTTGCATAAAACACTCCTGTTAATACACCCCAGAATATGATCCTCTTTGCATCACATTGTTGACTCGCATTCAATATGTGATGTATAATGTCATCCAGATCCTTTCAGCGGTACTACTGCCTCACCAGTTATTCCCCATTTGATAGTTGTGCATTCGATTTGTCCTTCATAAGTGAAGTACTTGCACTTGTCTTTATTGAATTTCATCTTGCTGAATTCACACCAATATTCCAATTTGTCAAAGTTCTTTTGAATTCTAATCATAGAACCATAGATGATTAGGGTTGGAAAAAACCTCAGGAGGTCATCTAGTCCAACCCCCTGCTCAAAGCAGGACCAACACCAACTAAATTATCCCAGCCAGGGCTTTGTCAAGCTGGGCCTTAAAAACCTATAAGGATGGATATTCCACCATCTCCTTAGGTAACCCATTCCAGTGCTTCACCACCCGACTCCTGGTGAAACAGTGTTTCCTAAAATCCAACCTAGACCTCCCCCACTGCAACTTGAGACCATTGCTCCTTGTTCTGTCATCTGCCACCACTGAGAACAGCCGAGCTCCATCCTCTTTGGAATCCCCCTTCAGGTAGTTGAAGGCTGCTATCACATCCCCCCTCACGCTTCTCTTCTGCAGACTAAATAACCCCAGTTCCCTCAGCCTCTCCTCATAAGTCATATGCCCCAGCCCCCAATCATTTTTGTTGCCCTCTGCTGGACTCTCTCCAATTTGTCCACATCCTTTCTGTAGTGGTGGGCCCAAAACTGGACGCAACACTCCAGGTGTGGCCTCACCAGTGCCGAATAGAGGGGAATAATCACTGCCCTCGATCTGCTGGCAATGCTCCTACTAATGCAGACCAATATGCTGTTAGCCTTCTTGGCAACAAGGGTACACTGCTGACTCGTATCCAGTTTCTCATCCACTGTAATCCCCAGGTCCTTTTCTGCAGAACTGCTGCTTAGCCAGTTGGTCCCCAGCCTGTAGCGGTGCATGGAATTCTTCCGTTCTAAGTGCAGGACTCTGCACTTGTCTTTGGTGAACCTCATCAGATTTCTTTTGGCCCAATCCTCCAATTTGTCTAGGTCACTCTGGACCCTATCCCTACCCTCCAGCATAGCTACCTCTCCCCCAGCTCTCTCTCAGCTTAGTGTCATCTGTGAACTTCTGAGGGTGCAATCCATCCCATCATCCAGATCATTAATGAAGATGTTGAACAAAATTGGCCCCATAACCGACCCCGGGACACTCCGCTTGATACCGGCTGCCAACTAGAGATCGAGCCGTTGATAACTACCCATTGAGCCTGACAATCTAGCCAGCTTTTTATCCACCTTATAGTCCATTCATCCAATCCATACTTCTTTAACTTGCTGGCAAGAATACTGTGGGAGACCGTATCAAAAGCTTTGCTAAAGTCAAGATATATCACGTCCACTGCTTTCCCCATATCCACAGAGCCAGCTATATCCTAGAAGGCAATCAGGTTGGTCAGGCATGATTTGCCCTTGGTGAATCCATGTTGACTGTTCCTGATCACCTTCCTCTCCTCCAAGTGCTTAAAAATGGTTTCCTTGAGGGCCTGCTCCATGATTTTTTCCAGGGACTGAGGTGAGACTGACCGGTCTGTAGTTCCCCTGGTTCTCCTTCTTCCTTTTTTTTAATTTGTATTTATTTATTTTTTAAAAGATGGACACTACATTTGCCTTTTTCCAGTCGTCCATGACCTCCCACGATCACCACGAGTTTTTAAAGATAATGGCCAACAGCTCTGCAATCACATCAGCCAATTCCCTCAGCACCCTCGGATGCATTAGCTCTGGACCCATGGACTTGTGCATGTCCAGTTTTTCTAAATAGCCCTTAACCTGTTCTTTCACCACTGAGGGCTGCACAGTGCTTGGCCTCCAAAGTGCTTGCAACTCCTCCCAGCGTGATGTCATCTGCAAATTTTGTAAGCATACTTTCCACTCCATTATCCAAGTCATTAATGAAAATATTGCATAGTAGTGGAGACACAACTGACGCCTGTGGAACCCCACTAGATACGTCCTCCCAGTTTGACAGTGAACCATTGATATTGCTCTTTGAGTACGGTCTTTCAACCAGTTTTGCATTCATCTTCTAGTAATTCCATCTAGACCACATTTCCCTAGTTTGCTTAGGAGAATGTTGTGTAGGGCTGTGTCAAAAGCCTTACTAAAATTAAGATGTATCACATCATCTGCTTTCTCCCATCCACTTGGCCAGTAACCCCATCAAAGAAGGAAATTAGGTTGGTTTGGAATGATTTGTTTTTTGATAAATCCATGCTGGCTATGTGGGATGCAGGGCTAGTGAAATTTCTCCAGACTTTAGGAGGAGAATCAGCACATGCTCAGGGAACCACTTTGAGGAAGGGGAAAATGTACACAAATTGCTTTATCAGCAGAGCTAGTACAGCTCACTATAATGCGTACAAATGTCAGCTGATTCTCTTCATTTATGTTCCTTCCCCTTCCTGCCTCAGGAATGGCACTCAGATGGCGCTGGCTGGCTGTGCTATGTTCTTTCCCACCCTGCATAATGCTCGTGTTCATGTCCTTCATGCCTGAAACACCTAGGTTCCTGCTGAACCAGAAAAAACGCACTGAAGCTATGGCCGCTTTACAGTTTCTGCGAGGATCAGAGGTGGACCATGAATGGGAATGCCGGCAGATTGAAACCAGTGCTGAGGAGCAGGTGATGAAGATTTTGTTCTGGGTTACACTAAAAGCTTTTTTTTAATTCAGTAAAGAAGAAACTTGGTTGAATATGGTTATTACATACTTTGTGTATGTGGTCAGAGATAATAGTGAAATAATTGTTTCAGGACTTGACTGTTATCTTAAGTGTGACTTCTTCCCTTCTCCCTCCGCCTGCCAAATTACTGTATAGGAAATGAGACTAGAACACTCTGCATCTATACCTGTGTGGCCTGGTTTGCACATTCTTAGGATCCAAAGCTCCCACTGAAGTCCGTGGGTATTACAGATGCATGTGGAGTGGAGGATCGGGCCTCAAATCCCATTTTTAATAATTTGTAGCATGTACCTAAATCCTTTCAGCTCCTCATTTGCATTGGGTGATTAAATAGCTGAACAATATGAAAAGAACTAGGAGGAAATGGAAATAGTAGAAGTATTGGCCCAAAATCTTCTCTCTTAACACTGACACAAACAAGAGGTTGGTGAACACTTTTTTTTTTTTTTTTTTCCCTCTCCACAAAGTGATCACTCTATACCTGACTTATCAGTCTTCATTCTGAAAAGCAACCTGCACAACACTTTAAAAAAGATGAGCCTGGGAGTTTGAATTCATAACCTTGCTAGATACTTAGTAAAGACACTGGATTTATAGGTTTCAGAGTGGTAGCCGTGTTAGTCTGTATCAGCAAAAACAATGAGGAGTCCTTGTGGCGCCTTAGAGACTAACGAATTTATTTGGGCATAAGCTTTTGTGGGCTAGAACCCACTTCATCAGATGCATGGAGTGCTGTTAATTGATTTATCTCGTTAGACTGACCTCACACTTGGTAAGACAGCCCCCATCCTTTCATGTATTTATACCTGCTCCTGTATTTTCCACTCCATGCATCTGATGAAGTGGGTTCTAGCCCACGAAAGCTTATGCCCAAATTAATTCGTTAGTCTCTAAGGTGCCACAAGGACTCCCCGTTGTTTTTACTGGATTTATAGCTAATTAAACAATCAGTAACCCCCTCCCCCTTTTTTTTTTTTTTCCTAAGACTACAGGGGTATTAATGGGCTATTTCACCTTGAATGATCCCTTAAATATGTGCTATCTGTTTGATCTTATATTTAGCAACACTGAGTACCTTTCCCAGACCTTAAAGAGCTCTGCATAGCTCCAAAGTTTGTCTACCTCACCAACAGAAGTTGGTACAATAAAAGATCTTGCCCATTTTGTCTCATAAATAAGAGCACAGATTAGCCCCCTCAATTTGTTGTAGAGACCATATTGACCAAACTACTAAACAGGTCTTTTTATAGTTTGGACTCAGAGATATTTGTAGAAAGTGAATACCAATAAATCTCTCATGTTTTACAAAGGGGTTTGTGGATTTGGGTATCTTGTGAGGGCTGGATGATGGGGCAGTAGGAGGGGAAGGCAGAGACTTCAAAGGAAATTCATGCCTGGTTTTTCTAAATTCCCTGCTGTGGCTTCAAATGTTGCTCCCTCAGGTGTCCAAATACTATGGTTCAGTTATAGTACTGGGAACTGAGGGTAGAAGAAATCAGCATTATTTAAGTACCGAGAGTTCTCCAGCTGTTCCAAACATAACAATGACATTCATTATACCAGTTTAATAGATTACTTAAATGGGGGACTTGCTCTGTTTGTGTGTGACCAAGTGCCTGGGATAGACTACACTGACAAGGTCCTGCTCAGGGCTGACTGCCCTATTTCTTGCAATCACCAAAGCTGGTGGTTTACACTCTAATTAGATTCACCAAACCGGTACCAAAAGAGCTTCTGCAGTACCAGATTGCCTAGCCAGAAGCCAAACACCGTACCCTTTAGGCATTCTAGCTCCTGGCTCCAATCCAGACAACCAAGTCTAATATAGCGAGAGGTTATTGAAAACCCGTTTCACCATATGTGAGGTTCTTTCTAACCCCAAAGGATCAGACACACATCCCCAGGTCAATATGAATTTCAGATCTTCCCCAAATATAACACTGTTAGCCAATCCTTAGCAACTAAAGATTTATTAATAAAAGAAAAGAAGAGTTATAAATGGTTAATAGGTTATTTACATACTAATGATTGCAAAGTCCTTATATCAGGTTTGTAGCAGTGATGGAACAGACTGCTGACTTGTAAAGTCTCTCTGGTGACTTCCAAAAGTTTGGAAGGTCCTCAGTCCATAGTTCAAGATGTTTTTCTTTTTGTTGTAAATCTATAGTCCAGAGAATTACAGCAGGAAAGAAGCAAAATGGAGGTGTCTTTATATTCTCCTTCATGTACATGGAAATTTACTATATCAAACAAAGTCCACAGCCCCTGTATGTGAAAGCTGCTGTCCCAAGATGGAGTCCAGGGTCACATAAGCGTATCACAAGCTCCTACATGTTTTGCTGCATCACAGGGGGTGGCCATTAGCTCCTTGCTGTCTGAGGCATCCTCAAAAATGCTATCTGGACAGGATGAGTTTCTTCAATGGCCCATTGGGAGAATGGAGTGTCCCTGATGGGCCCTCAGCACACAGATTTACATCAGGGCTAGGCAGTTATTTGGCAGACTACAACTCATAGGCAATATTCATAACTTCAGATACAAAGATGATACATGCTTATAAACAGGATAATCATACTTAGCAAATAATAACTTTTTCATTGATACCTTACATGACATTCTTTGTACAAGATTTATGGAAATTGTATAACAGTGTTAACAACAGTAATATAAATGGCCACCTTTCTTATATGCAGCATCACAATACGGTCTTATGATAGATCTGAATTTCGGTGGTAGCACTTCTTCATTCAGTTATGCAAATCAAATAATTGTCATTGAATCTTTGCCTATGTCTTCTTTATAGCACAGACTAAGTGTTGCTGAATTTAAGAATCCATCTATCTACAAGCCATTTCTTATTGGTGTGGCACTGATGTTCTTCCAGCAAGTAACAGGGATTAATGCAATTATGTTTTATGCAGAAACTATCTTTGAAGAAGCTAATTTTAAGGTAAACATTGTTCACTTCATCTTTCTAAAATAGAATAGATAAATGCAGTTTAGCCGGATGTTACACTTGAGTACAGAGTACCAAACAGAAACCACATATGAATTTGGTGAATCTGTTGGAGTGATGGAAAAATGTTAAGTCTCTGCAGTTTTGTTTGTATGCAGGCATCTGACTGTCCTTGTTCTGGTTGGTTAGTTTTATTATTAACAGTTTCTTCAAGGAAAATAATATATATTAGACTGCTGGTCAGCAACTTTGCCTCCATTTCCAGGAAATGTAGTATAAGGTGCCAAAGCCCACTTGGTCATAGGTCCACGCAGAATCTCTCTCACCATGGTTACTATTGTGTGCTTCAGAGGAAGTAAAATTGCTGTGTCAGGTGAAAGCTAAAGTACAGCAATGGAGAGGAATAATTGCTGGAGTGGATCTCTACAGAAAGATCAGGACATTTTACTAGTCATAATTAAATGCTATTTTTAAGTTAATGTATCATGCAAAGTGCTTCTGTCTGGTGTCAGTTTTCAGTTTAACTGACAAAGATATGCTCTGCATGTTAGAATCAAACTATTTAAAAATAGTTGTTGTTTTTTTTCTTTTCCCCCTTTCCTGCATTCATCCTCCACTGTCTCAATTTCCCTTGTGTTTCTTGCATAATCTCCAGGTCATCCACAGGTATAGCAGTGACAGAGGCTTGTGAGAGAATCAGCTGCTAATAACAATCTTGTGTTAATATACATGAAGGCTCAATTTTATTCATTTCATTCAGAAAACTAATAAGAGCAGTGGTTGTGAGTTGGACATCTGGGGTATATAGAGTAGTGGTGGCCAAACTTACTGACCCTCTGAGCGCATATGATGATCTTCAGACGTTCAAGAGCTGGGGTATGCCTGCCAGTGCTTGGGGCTTCAATCCCATGGCGGAGTGGTGGGGCTAAGGGCTTCTGCCCTGCAGGGAGGGGGGGCCTCTGGGCTTCAGATGAAGCACCGAGCCCCGGTGGGCGCACCCCATGGGGTTGAAACCCCAAGACTCCCATCCCTGCTGGGCAGAAGAAGCCCTTAGCCCCACCACTCCTCCACAGGGGAGAAGCCCTGAGCTCTCTCCCCTCCCCCCCCCAATCAGTCTGGTGGGCAGAGAATGGGGTGAGGGGTCGTGTGGGCTCTGCAAGCTGCACTTTAACTGTAAAAGAGAATTGTAGAATTTTTAATTTTGTGGTGCAGAATCCCCCCAGGAGTAACTTACCTGGTGAGGCTTAATGCTTGAAAAGCATTTTGAGATCCTCATATGAAAGGTACTGTGCAGAAGCACAGTATGTTAGTTAATACAGAGATCAGACCAAGATATCAATACTGCATACAAATTAGCAATACAAAATATGCTATTTCTTTTCTACCTGCAGCATTACTGGAAAATCCTAATCACTTACTGAACACCATGACATTGTTTCTACAGATTTTTTTTTCTCTTTCTTTCAGGACAGCAGAATGGCCTCTGTTGTTGTGGGTTCCATACAAGTGTTTTTCACAGCTGTGGCTGCACTTATTATAGATAAAACTGGGCGAAAAGTACTGCTTTCTATTTCAGGTAAAAAAAAAAATCTATATCTTAAAATATAAAATACATATGAGATGGCTGGTTTGAATCAATGTGAATGGATGAGGGAACGTCTAGATGCTATTTTGTCTTTTCCAAACCATACTTAAGAATCTGTCTCTTTGGAGAATGTGACTGAAGGAGTTAAAGACCTAGGTCCAGACTTCTCCAGTGTCCTGCATCTTTTTGTCTCTGCTGTGTGCCCTTAACTTGCCACTGTATCCTACATTGTAGGAATCCTGCTTCCATGTTGCCAGTTAATAACTGAGAATGTAAACTCCAGAAGCAGTATAATGAGTTTCTAAACTCTTTGAGGCCTTTTTTTTTTAAAGGCTGGGACAATGACAAAAGTGTCTTTCATCATGCAAAAACTTGCCTGCATTTTAATATTCCAAAATTGGGTCAGATATGCAAAAGCTTAAAGATACATTCTGTTGGTAAATGTCCTCCTTTAAGAACAATATTGTTTGTAATACCAAAAATATCCTAGCTTGCCTACTGCATGAAGGTTTGTAATTATGCAATGGAGTGGTTTATTTTAAAACTTAACTTCTGTAGACTTAGTCTGGTGATTTAGAAGAAAAGTTGATCACAACTTATACATTGCACTGGAGAGTTTTTCTCTCTTTCTTTCTTTCTTTCTTTCTTTCTTTAAGTACCATTGTCTTCTGAAATTTAGTGAACACTTGTTTACTTGTGCCTATTTCACAAGTAGGTTTGGTAGTATTAATTATATCAAGCAGGATTAATTTACTCTAACATGCATATATGTATACAGTATATTTGAATCCTGTAATTGTATGTATATTCACAGTGATTGCTGAGGTTATTGTAATTCTAGATACTATTTTATTTTATTTATTTTTGGTGATCTCTCACTTGAGTCATCCTGTACCAAATAGTTCCAGAGGTAGTTTCTAAGGATGCTATTCTTATACAATCATTGTGGGCAAAGCACAGATGTGAGGAACTTCCATAAGAGGCTTGTTTTTTTTTGTATTTAATTTACCAATTCTGGTCTCTCGGATACAAATCTTTTCCAAGTGGCAATAAATCTGCAGTTGGTTCTTCTTCACTTTTGCAGGGGTCATTATGGCTATCAGCACTGCAGCATTTGGGCTGTACTGTAAAGTGATCCTTCCAAACCCTCAGAATTCATCACAACCTGGCTTATTGACTACACTAAATTCAGCATCTGTAGGAGCAGAAAACAACCTAGCATGGTTGGCTGTAGTGAGCTTGGGGCTGTTCATCACTGGTGAGTGGTCTGCCATTGTAGTCCTGGGCTATGCAAAAAAAATTGTCCGCAACTATAAAAGCACTTGAGACAGGAGTACTGTGTACCTCAGAAGTTCTTGAGTATGGCCTTACAATAGTACTGGTCACCTGTGACCTCTGTTGACTCAGCTAAGAGTTGTGAAAGCACAACACTTCTTGGGGATCAAGCTATAAGGCTCTGCTCCTGCAGTCTGTACTACACTCAGCAGGGACTCCTGAAAGGGTGTAGGATATGGATTAATCAGCCTGGACCACATTCTTAGATATTGCACTTAGATATTTATCTATCTATCTATTTTAAACTGTGTTCACAACCAGTAACCAGAAGCATTTTTTTCTTCCTGCACCAGTCAAAGTGAGGTAACTTTTAGGTTAGTGCAGGGCAATTGAAGTTAAAAATGTAGATTTAGTTTGAAGAAACCGCCACTTCAGAGAGGTAACAAAAACCCCCCTCTCATTTATCGAAGCGTGTTATCAGATGGTGGGGTTAATAATTTTTGGGTATTGTTGCAACAAGTATATACCAGTTTTGGAGTGTGCACTTCAGTACTGCTTTTTAAGTGAAATGTTCCCTCTACAGCAGTCTGACAGGACCATAGTTAGAGTTGGGGTAGAATTAACATTTATCACAGAACAGGATTTGGCATCATTCATCACTTGCTTCTTTAAATGCAAAACAAGTTTACTTTTCACCTTTATTTTCAATTTCAGGTTTTGCCCTTGGTTGGGGTCCCATTCCGTGGCTGGTGATGTCTGAAATATTCCCACTTAAAGCTAGAGGAATTTCCAGCGGTGCCTGTGTCTTAACAAACTGGTTTATGGCTTTTTTAATAACCAAGGAATTTCATGATCTTACAGTAAGCACCGTGTAACCCCAATTATGAGCCTTACCCCTTCTGATTCATGGTGAAAGTTGATAAACAATGCTGTTGGCAAATCACTAAGCTATGCTCTTCCCTGGTAATGAGGTACTGCAAGTAGTCCTATGCAGCTTTGTTTTTTCTCATAATAATAGTTTTCTTTTTCTTTCAGGGCTTCCTGACTTCCTATGGCACTTTCTGGCTTTTCTCTGTCTTCTGTATTCTAAATGTAATTTTTACTGTCCTGTATGTGCCTGAAACAAAAGGAAGGACATTGGAACAAATAGAGGATCACTTCCGAAGATCACCTGCGACCTGAGGTTCTTTACCCTGTAGGAAAGTTTTCCTATTAGGTTACTGTTAGTGTTATTGCCTAAACTTTTCCAAGAAACATCCTCTGGATTAGTAGGCTGCACCTGAATTCATGATGTGGTTAAACATGGTTTAAATCAACTTCTAATCAATTTTGTTAACTTTGGCAAAAATCTGAATTGCATGGTGGAGAACCAAAACATTGTTCTCATATGCATGTACGCATTCAGCTTCTTTCAGGTTTACAAAGCAGCAGGTGGTGCTAATTCACTGTGATACATGAGTTATTCTCTCCTTTTCCCAGGCCTTGGAGCTTCATTTGGGCTGTCACTGTTTTTCTCTTTCCAATGTTCCCTTTACCTACTGTAGATTAGTTATGAAGGCTGAATAACTGCTTTTAATGGATTAGCTGGTATGCTGTTCATTCTGTCTCTTATTGCATGAGCCAGTCCTTTGTGTTAGGGATTGGAAGGAATCCCCTCTTCCCTGGCCCGGTGTTTAGCACAGTGTATGTAGTATAAATGAAACCTACTATTGCCTGAACTGCATTAACTTCATACCCTATTTTGATTCTTCCACTGTCTTCACCTGTGCTTGTATGGGTAGTGGCCTGACTATTGAACAAAGTCCAGGCCATTGGTGAGTACAAGTCCTGCAACTAATGCACCAGCCATCAGCCCTCTTCAGATGTTTGTATGCTTGATAAATTGCTGAACACCCTCCAAGAGCCCTAATGTCAGGAGGGGGTTTGAGCACCTCAGGGAAATATATCATGATATTTAGTTGTAATCTTGTGGGAAAAGCAGGCTAAAATAGAGCATTTTACAATTTCAAATAAATATCTTCAGAAGTGCTAACATTTGATCAGACAATGGAAGATGTGTTGCTTCTGCTCAGTTTGCCAAACTGCTGAAAAAGCTTCTGGGCCTTGGAAAAAAATATTTACTATACATCAGAATGGCACTGTAAAATTCAGATACCCTAATCAGCTGTTCAGTTATGAGACTGTGGCTGTATTTACAACATATTTACTTCTCTTGTGTGGGAGACTTCTATCTCAATACAGTTGGCCATTGTGACTAGAACCCTATAATCAAGACTAGCCCCACCCAGCATTGACACTACTTAAACCTATGCTACTTGAACTATACACATTTAAGTTACTTGATGTAGTACTTTCTTAACAGCTGCTGTTTATACTCTGTTCTGCTTCCATAACATTTACTATTATTGATTGTCTAATTTTCTGCTAGATTAAAAAAAAGTTGCAGTGGTCTCAGGCAGTAGGGTCTGCCTGTATCTTATTCACACCATGGAGAGCAGAGGCAGAGAGGATCTAATGGCACAGAAGGTAATTCAGTATCTTTCTTTGCCTTGAATAAGGTCATCAGGCACAAGGCTACTGTGCCAAATCTATAATACCAGAGCTTCCGACTTGATTGCTGCACAGAAATGCCTTCAAAGATCAGGTGCATTGCACCTGTCAGCCTCCACTTCAAACAGACTCATTTAATTTCACCCATTCCTTTTAAACATACAGTCCCTGTCTGAGCAGAAATCTAGTTTTCCTTCTGAAACCATGAAAGCATTGAAGGCACAGAATGTTCATATACTTAAGTTGCAAACAAATGTTGCATATGCAGGCCCCTACTATACATGGGTAGAGAGAAATTTAAGACCGGGGGGGGGTGGTAACTATGGCTGAATGTTGAGTAGGGGACAGGCCCTATTGCTGAGCCAGGTAGATAAGCTGGCCACATCTCTGTTTAACTATTTCCCAGAAATAAAAGTACACGTTTCCATTTGCTATGGCAATACAAATAATACTATAACAGTCTCAGCAGCATGTCAAGGCTGTATGTAGCTAACAAAAGCCAAAACTAGTGTTGCTATCTACAAATTTCACCTTTATAAGCCTGTTAGCAACTCTTCACTCAAACGTTACTATTTCTATTACATTAGTTATTAGGGCACCATTGGCACTGTACAAACTGAGGTAGACATAGTCCCTTTCCCATAGTTCAGGATTCCACCTCGAGGAAGCATTCAGGTTGTTACATAGCGTTAAACACACATTGCAGCATTACTCTAGAGTCAGTCTGACTCATATATAAAATGTATGCATCAATTTTCTTTCAAGCACTTTTCCTAATTTTAAAAACACATTAACCCAGCACACTAAATCCATCTTAAACAGGTTTTAAAAACACAGCCTTTGGAGACCGTCCAAACCAATCTGCATCTAAGAGCTCAAATGTGTCTCAATGGGCAATGTTCCTTTACCCGCACCTGGAAAAGCATGGGCGAACAGGCACGTATTTTCAGTGAATACCTTAATTAAAAGGTAAAGGGCCCAGGTCTCCTTTCATTAACACCAGTGTAATTACTGACTTCAAGGGCATTAGACTGGTACAAATCAGGAGTAACTGAGAGGAGGGTCAGGCTGAAGGCCTGCTAAATCATTCCTGAAAATAAGAAAATGCTGGCTGAGTGAGAGCTGTACACATGTAGCAGGATGCTATGAATGTTCAGTGTGTGACTAAAGTAAAAATCAGTGAGTTAAAAACTCAATAGGGAAGTAAGACTGGATTGGAAATTCTTTAGCAGTACTGCCAATTGCTGGGTGGGCCAGAAAGTTGGTTTCTGCTAGCAATAAAAGGGGAAAACATCCATATCACAAAGGGATCAAATCCGTCAGCAAACCCTACAACTGCAGCTCTCCGCAAAGAACTGTACATTAGCAGAGTCAGTAAAATGTGCAAAACCAAGCAAAATTACCAAATATAGTATTTGTGGCCACAAACTAGAAATGAAAACAGAAGCATGATACAAACAGAAAGGAGCAACTCTGTAAACAATGTGACAGGAGAAATGGAAACAGAACTTGACTAATGCAAAATATGAATGAGTTTACGCAGACTATCTGAAATAAGACTTAGACACACACACACACAAAAAGGGGGGGTGTCCCTGAGTCTGGGAATGAGGGTTGCCAAGGCAGAGATCTCCCTGTGCAGAACCCTGCCAGTGAAGAGGTGGGGGAGAACAAAGATTATTACTTTAGAAGCCCTTCAATGCAGGAAGGGCTTCTGTTCAAACCCTGCTGATACATGTCTTCTCCTCTGAAGTGACTAATAACATCTCTTAAGAGAAAAAATCCCAGAAACATTTAAACAGGGAAAACAGTGACCCAAAGCTGCCCCTTATGAGAATAGCACCACTCCTTCCAGACTACAGAAGACTGAACAACATGAGTCAGAACTTGGAGAAACTACCACCTTTGGAAAGGAAAGAAAAGCACTGTTCAGTGCTTCATTGGTCTAATGATTCATTAGTAAATACCAAAGAAACAACAGGCTCATGTCAAATTTCATAAATATTTATTACATCTCAATGAACAAAAAAGTACCTGCTGCTCCTTCACAACAATGGCCTATTGCACTTAAAACAGCTTTAGTTATTATAGTCATGGTTCCCTTTCTTTACAGGCTACATTCAAAACATGGTACATATACATTACTTGCAATTAAAAACAGTGGCAATACAATAGATTTTAAGACACTTGGTGGTAGTTAATTTTTAGATCACAAAGGTTCAGCAACAGTCTAACAGTACATAATCATTGAGGTACATAACCCACTGCTAACATTCAAGCACTTCAATAAAACAAAAATCAGGGTTGACACAAACTGCTTTGTACAAACCTTAGAATCCTAAGTTCTTCCATTCAACTAGATAAATACTTAAACAAGAGGCAGTAAATACATGTGCAAAAATATTCCTGTTTTCTTTTTTCCTCAAGGCTCGTAGTATTGTCATGAATTCACATTTACACAGATAAACAAAGGCTGCCGTTGGTCATTTGAATGTCACTAGTAGGACAAGGGCAAAGCAGACATGCATTATACAGGCTGGCACAGGTGCAGTGCTGTACTGTCACAATACTAAAAATACATTTAGTAACCTGGCTGCTAGTAAAGACATTTGCTGCAGACTCAAACACCAGAATTTCCTGTATCTTAGGGTAGGTCTACACTTACCCAGTAGTTCGGCAGCAAGAAAATCGAACTTCTGGGTTCGACTTATCGCGTCTTGTCTGGACGCGATAAGTCGAACCCGGAAGTGCTCGCCGTCGACTGCGGTACTCCAGCTCGACGAGAGGAGTACGCGAAGTCGACGGGGGAGCCTGCCTGCCGCGTCTGGACGGAGGTAATTTCGAACTAAGGTACTTCGAACTTCAGCTACGTTATTCACGTAGCTGAAGTTGCGTACCTTAGTTCGAATTGGGGGGTTAGTGTAGACCTGCCCTTAGAGATGAAATCCAAATGTCTCAAGGTCGAATTTATTCCATCACAAAACAAAATCCATAAGAGCTTATTCACCAACACCAGAAGGGCAGTGAGAAAAGATTTCTTTAGCTAAAGTGGCAAACGCTGGGTGTATTAACTACCACACCAAATCACAGCACTATTCATTTTCAATTTCTTGTTCATTCTCACAGAAAGCTACAAACATGATGTAAGAACACAATGAAAGGGGAAAGGAATATCCTTTAAATATCATTATAAATGTATGTGCCAACACATGATTTTTAATTTCCTGTCTTATAAGGAGGAGTCTAAACCTGGCTGTTGATGGACAGTGTTAATAAACTTGAGTGTGTTTTCCAAAATGTATTCCAGCCAAATGATTGTGCCCAGTATGGCATGAGGCAGACTAGTGAGCTACAAGCTATCAAAAGATCATGTTGCTCTTTAGAAGCATTTTGCTTCATGCTACTGAAAGGGAATAATTAGCAAGGCAGCGCAAGTCTTTAGAATGGCCAAGCATACCTGACCTCAATGATGGACTTGAGAGGGCCTTAGAGAACCAAGGTGGGTGAGGTAGTAACTTCAAGTTGGTCCAATAAAAGATATTACCTCAGTCACCTTGTGTCTCTACTATCCGGGGACCAACGGGGCTACAACAATTTAAGAGGACATTACAGTTACCCAAAAGGCAGACTACAGGCTGACATAAATCCAGGGAACATGCACTTGGAACAGCAAGGTGGGCAAATCCTGCCCTTGAGGGTTCGTAACGCCATGTATACCACACCCTGCCCTAAGGCAGAGCTCTCTAAAAAAAGCTGACATCAGACTGGCCGAGTCAGTATGAAGCGATGAAATCAGCTACAAGCATGGTTGAGGGCTCTTTTTGTTCAGAATATTACCAGGTTCAGTCATCAGTCGTATTAGCAGGCTGTTGCCATCCAATTTTTAAGTTCTCAATCATTTTGACTTTACAAATTACATCCATGCTGGGTACAACTATAGTAAAACATGTATCTATGTTGTGCCAGGAGTCCTAGACCATTGTGGTATCAGAGGTAAATTGACCAATCACTGCTTTTATAGCTAATTTTGCATGCAACAGTTTCACTGGTTGTATGAGGGAGCTTACATAGATGGAGGATTACTTGGCCCAAGTGCCATAATCATGTGGTAACATGAGCTTTCAGCTATTATATTAGGGTGAGCAGATGTCCTGATTTTATAGGGACAGTACCGATTTTTGGGTCTTTTTCTTATATAGGCTCCTATTACCCCCCACCACCTGTCCTGATTTTTCACATTTGCTGTCTGGTCACCCTATAATATATTCACACACCCACCCACCCACACCCTCTCTAATAACAAACACATTTATCCCTAGTCTCTGTAGAAGTACGGAGCCTCTGTAAGTTGTGAGAAGCAAAACTTCAAGTCCCTCACCCCACATGGAGCGACAAAGAGACTGCACTAGATTACTTGTATTGGGTGATTTAAAAATATTTTCTTTTGTTTTTTTACAGTGCAAATATTTGTAATAAAAAATAAATATAAAGTGAGCACTGTATACTTTGTATTCTGTGTTGTAATTGAAATCAATATATTTGAAAATGTAGAAAACATCCAAAAATATTTAAATAAATGGTATTCTATTATTGTTTAACCATGCGATTAATTGCACGATTAATTTTTTTTAATCGCATGATTAATTGCAATTAATTTTTTTAATCACTTGACAGCCCTACTGATTATGCAGCTCTTTGCTAAGTCCCTTCAATATGCCCTTTTAGCTCCCTCAGCAGCTTCAGGCTCTAGCCAATGCTAATTTTTATATGCTGAGTTGTGTGGACTCTGCTAGAATATCAGAAGAAGAGAACAGTTCCATGAGCTATTTCAATTTACAATTTGATATTTTGACACACCAAAACAAAATTTCCAGTTAAATTTTATTTTAACTAAAGCCTGAGTTTGCAACATGAGTATGGGCTCCAAAAAACCCATGAGCATATGCACGTACAACTAACACAACAGAAGCAACATCATGGAACAAGGCTGAGGATACAAAAAGGGAAAGAAAAGACTATTGTTTCTTTCAGGATGAGATGTTAGTGCAATTAGTGCTCCTAAAGCGGGTGCAATGAGCCCCCATACATGTTCACTTGCATGCAAACATGGTCTGCCCTGAATATAGTTGTATAAAGAAATGCTGTCTTTCACACACAGAACAGGCCCCAGACTCCATCAAAAGTAAGTGCCACTCTTGGCATCTTTCAGCTTCATTTTTCAACCAGAACTGAACTGGTAAATGGTATAGGGTGTATAAGTTCTTTCTAGTGATTGTGGAGTGCTTTCTCACAAGAGTTGAAATCTCTGGCAAACAATTTCAGCTTACATGCTTTTTCTTAGAATTACAACACACAGATTTACTGGTTTAAAAATACGGTAATACTAATCACTGGTTAAAATACTTTCTTCTAATGAAAGAATGATTGCAGCTGAAAATATTGCTTCTTTCCTTGATCAGCTGTTACAGCTGAGAATAAAAAATGATCCTTTAAATGAAGTTAATAAATATTTTCTTGTTGGAGCAATTAGCAGCTACCTATACTAGTAAAAGGTTAGTAATAGAGTACTAGACAGGAAACTGGATTATATTCAGATACACTCATTTAAAAGACGCTAAGAAGGAAACAAACTATGACACCAGCATGCCATCCCTAAAATAATGAAGATGCTGAACTATTTCTAAGAAATAACTTGTAAACAGAGCTAACATCTTAAAGTAAAAAAGGAGGAAAACATCACATTTTCATGAAAAAGCAAAACATTTTGATTTTTGTTGCAAATTGATTTTTTGGCATACAGAAAATGCAGGAAAGGTCTCAAGAATCACTTTATGCATCCGAAGAAGTGGGTTGTAGCCCACGAAAGCTTATGCTCTAATAAATTTGTTAGTCTCTAAGGTGCCACAAGTACTCCTCTTCTTTTTGTAGGTAAAATCTGTCCTTCATACATCAAAAGGTTTATTGTTACTATTTCACCACAAAAACCTAGCTGTTCAGTGAAATTTCAGCCTGGATTCACTCAGCAAAATGTAGCTATTTGGAGCAGTCTAAAATTTTATCATTTAAACAGTTAATGCACAAGCAAATAGCAACAAATACAGATGCCTGCATGTTAACAGGAGGTTCATCTGCAAGTCAAAACATTGATAGAAAATGGAATGCAAAATCAGATGCTGGCTCCTACATACTGTGTTTTCAAGAAGTCTGCAGATACATAACAGGGATAATATTTCAGTTGCTTTGTTAGCCTGATGCATTTGGACTAGATGATCTCCTGAGGTCCCTTCCAACCCTAATAATCTATGATTCTATGATCTCTTTCTTCCTTTATCTCTGATTTTCAATTTTTAGAGGAATAATTTGAAAGTTCATATTTTTCTACAAAATTCTCCGCATTCTGGAATTTTTACTCCAAACCATGTTTTCGGGTCCCTCTCAGAAAAAATATACATGGAAAGATGAGAGCTAAGAAAGCATATTTGTATCTTATTCATAGATTCCAAGGCCTGAAGGGACCATTGTGATCATCTAGTCTGACCTCCTGTATAACACAGGCCATTTAACTTACATAAAATAATTCCTAGAGCAGAACTTTTAGAAAAACATTCACTTTATTCTCTGTAATTTACTCTCACTGTTAGAAATTTATGCTTTATCTTACCTGATCTTCATAGAATATCCTTGGTTCTTCAGTAAACATTATAACAGAACGGTACCACTTCAGGGACAGATGATCCTGGCTGAAAAGAACTTTGTCACAAGTTTGTTTTTATCTTTTAAAAAAATTGGAATAAATTAATTTTCTTTATAAAGATCATCTTTCTACATGACACACTGTGCTATGAAACAATTTGTAATATCAGCGGCTGCAAATAACACAGCTAAGTGTTACTCTCATTCACGTACTCCAAACATAAGAAGTTCAGAGAGAATAAAAATGAATCCTTTTATTTACTTAAAATTATCATCCTAAAACTATCATTGATATCTACCACCTTGCTACAATACAAACCACTGGTTCTTTAACTGATAAAGGTAAACATAAAGATGGCAAAAAAGCTTCACCCAATTGGGTTCTGTAGAGAATATTCACCAATATACTCTATTTCCAGCCATATGTTATCACTAAAAGCAGTGTTGTGACATTGCTATAAGGCCTTCAGAGTCATAAGAAAAGGAAAAGGAGAAAATAAGGGACTCAAGATTGTCTTCACTTCAAGTCAATGATGTCTTCATCAAATGAAGTAGTGAGATGAAATGGACTGCTAGATGGTGGGCTCTCCTCCCGGTTTGCTGCAGTATCAGGATCTGAACTAGTGGAAAGGTGACGCCCTTCAGAACTGCTTTCAAAAGAGCTTGAAATTATCCTGCAGGAAGGAAGGCAAAAATCTCTGTGAAAACACTTAGATCAAAGCAAGAAGCAAATGAACAGTTATCCCTGGGTGCAACCAGGTTAGTTTGAAGACAGATCTATGACCTCGGAATAGTTTGACCCCTCTCTTTTTAACTCTGATTTTTCAGAGTATTCTCTCATATTCCCACCAACCTGGACAACAGAAAATGCACACAAATATCAAGTTTACAGACAATCAAATATCCCTAGCAGTTATTGTTCATGGATGGCATCTCAAACAAATATTTTATATTGTCATTTCTAGTCAAAATATTTAAATCAATTTACTTTTATCCTCTGTAATTTAAAATTGTGTTAATGAAAAAAATCACCAGTCTGTCATGTCTGGGCCAAATCCTGCCTTTTTTCTTCTCAAGTGTAGATTCCATAGTGCACTGAGTATTGCAGGGAGCGGGAGGGCTGAGGGGGAGGCAGTTTAGAGAAATTCTATATACGCAGCAAGTACTGTGGAAAAGAGGGAACAGGGCTTCTTCTCCACCTTGGTGAGGTTCTGTGCTTCTTTCTAGCGGTGGGTCAGGATAGTGTCTCCTCTCTCAGAATCCCCCCCGCTCAGTTTATGGTGGGTGGGGAAATTCTGTCTCCAAGTGGCCTTCCCATTTCTGGGCCTACTAGACCCTCACTGCTTCACTGGGGCTTCTGGCCTCCTCGGTGGACATCCAGTGAGAGGAAAAGAGGGGGGTGGGGGGGGCTGGTCCCACCCTCTACTCCGGGCCCCAACCTAGGGACCCAAGAAGTAGCAGCCTCACGCTGCCAGTTTCCAGGAAATCTGCTAGCTTCCCTTCCCCACACCCCTTGGCTTATTGTCCCCACTTTGCTTGGGCAGAGTTCCTCCCGACTGTCCTGCCGGGGTAGGGAGAGCCCCTAGTCTCTGGTAATCCTTCTGGGCATGGCAGCACCACACCAAACGCACGGCTCAGTCTCTCCCCTCTGGCAGGGTCCTTTTTTTCAGGTCTTTGGCCCTGGAAGGGTCCTTAGCTCCTGCTTAGGGTAGGGTTTCTCTCCAATCTCTATACCTGTGGGGTTCTCCCTGGTCCTTGTCAGCTTCCGCACCGCTCAGCTCGCCTTCACTCTCACAACACCTATCACCCCCCTGACTGGCAGTGGGGGAAGGCTTTTAACCCATTCTGGCAGGTTTTTAATTGACTCCAGGTGTCCTAATTAACCTGGAGTAACCCCTGCTCAGTTACCAGGGGAAGAGGGACCTGCTTATCCTGAGGCTAATACCTTCCTTCCTGCACTCTCCTGTAGCTGCCTGGCCTGACACTGTCACACCAGTGAATCCATAATCTGCAAATCTGTTTGCCAAAATCCTTCTGAGGGAGGCCCAAACATGGTAGTTACCTTATCAAGGCCCATTTAGTCTGGTTTTGTTCATAGGTCCATGATTTGGTTCCTAGGTATACAGCCAGATATAATTCAAAAAGGCTATACACACCTAGAAACCAAAGATGATATGAAAATATTGACAATCCTTAGCCAAAATTATTACTGGTCCCAGTTCTGACACTACCGGGGCAGTGTTATGGGTAATTTTTTTAAACGGTTTATAGTTTAAAATCATCATTAGTATTACAGTACAACCCAGCAGCCCCACTGAGGGTCAGGACCCAAGGATTTTACCCTGTAATTTAGTGTGATTCTTTTTTAAATCCTCCTCTTTACCTGTCACTGCTTGTTGACCTTATTGCTCCCTGCTTGTGGTCTGATGGTTTTCGAGGAACCTTCTTTTGCTTCTGTGCTACTTCTGATTTGGGAACTTTCTCATCCAAGAGGCCTCAATAAAGGAATAAAAGACTTAGTTTTCAGAAAAGAGATTAAACATTCATGGGGCTGTTATAGATACAATACCCTTCATTGGCTTCAGACATTGGCTACGTTATGACTGGGTTAGAGTACAGACCTATTGTGTGCATTAGCTAATCAGACACCAGATTACCAAAGTATTTTATGTTTTCTTTAAAGCATGTAGCCTTTTCACAAAGAGGCTGTTTTTTCGCCAGCTGACATTTTATTTTTGTAATATTTTCTGCTATATGTCACTCCAGAAATCTAAATGGGTGACAGAGACTCCCGGTAGTATAATTGGGAATTGATTGTATCAATCAAGAGTCTTTACCCAGCAGTTCTTTGCGTGTCCTGCTTGCAATTTCTTTAATTTCCATACGAGACAAAGATAATGAGTGACTGACAGGAGCTGAGGCAGTAACACTAGACATTGAGGTGATGATGGCCTTGGGGACTAATGGTGACTTCAGAGGTCGTTCAATGCTCCTCCCAGCCAGATTACTCAGAGGAATTTTGTATATGTTTTTATACTGAACTTCACCTAAAACACAGAAAAAACAACCAGAAAGAGATTTTCATATTTTCACAGTAATAATAATTTGACACATTATTTTTTATCACTTGAGTGGTGACAACATGTTCAGCTGGTCATAACAAAGACATGGCCATTTACCTGCAGCGCTTACCATCTAAATAAACAGACGATTGGACATAAAAGTACACTGGAACTAGACAGCGGATGCTGTAGCAGAGTAGATTTTATAGTGGAGTGACGACAGCATTTTATTGATACAGAGCACAAGATGAGGGGAAAACAGGGATTGCTGTTCCCTTTGTTAAAATAGTTTATATGCAAGTTGAAGACAATGGGGATGCAAGCTCCTCTTTTCAATGTTACCATCAGAGTTCCACTATGAGCAACTGGGCAGTAACTTCACAGGGACATGTGTACCCCTTTGTAGCCCTGCTTTCTTTGGTAGCATTGCTTAAACTAATAATGTTACTGGTACTTTATAACTCTGAAACTGTGCTATAAGTTCTTCTTCAAGTGATGGTCCCTATGTGGATTCCAATCACGGATGGGCATGCGTGCCATGCGCCGGACCTGTTCATATTAGTGTCTGTTGATTCGCATGTGCATCCACCGCATGGCGCGTCCGAGGCTTTAAGAAGCTGTGCGGGTCGACGACACTCCAGTTTCCTCTTACCGCTGCCATAGTCAGAACCCTCATTTCTCTATCTTCATTGCTATTCTTTCAAAAATTACAGTCTCCGATGGTATATTGTATATAGTTAGTTATAGAGTAGTTGTCCGTCTTCATTTTCCCTTACCTCGTAGTTGTTAGTTTAGTTAGGAATTAGCTGTAGGAATTCCCAGAACACCAAAGGTGCCTATACTGTGTGGGTGAAGCTCACGTAGCTACATGCTTCTCCATCTGCTGCTCCTTCCCGCCTAGAACTCAGGAAGCTTGTGAGCTTCATCTCCGCAAATTCCTAATGGAGGGGGCTATGCACCCACACCCTCCATAGGAACCGGCACCAACGGACCACCATTCCGCCTGGCGGTCAGCTCCACTCCAGGCCCATCCTACCCAGCACCAGTGGCACCTCCACATCCTTCCAAGCACCATGCTCATAAGAAGCACTCGCATGGACACAAGGGCAGATCCCCGATGGGGACTGCTCCGAAGGACAGCGTTTCCTCCCTGAGCTGTGCCAGGTCAGGTGAAAAGTTGCGTGCAGTAGAGGAGGCCCTCCAGTTAAGAAGTCCCGCTTGGAGCATAAGTCTTGGCACCCTGTTCCTGCGATGACAACTTTGACCAGGCGGCACTTCAGCCTTCACCACCGTCACCGTCCACTCTGCCAGGACCGTTGGGGGTCTCCCACCCGGCCCTGCGCACACTAGGATGCCTGTCCCCATTAACACACACGGCTGAGCTGCTGCTGCTGTTTGTGGGCTCTCCAACGCACTGCTCCGATGGCTCTGCCTCTGCTGGAACCATCTTTGGGCTTGGACTGGTCCTCCGAGGTGGACCTGCCTTTCTCTCCTGTCCGCTCATACAGCCCGGATACTAGAGGACCACCCTATCCTTCACCTTATGGGCACTTTGCGGATCCGTGGTCCACCTATCCAAGGGAACCATTGGTTCCAAGCGACCCATACGCCTGGCCCTATTGGGCAGCTTGGGACCCATACCAATGGTGGATGCATCACCAACGTTCTCTGTCGACTACTGCAACCTATGACCCTCCTGCGGATGCCTCCATTCCACTGGACCTGCCCGCACCAATGGCGCCTCTGGAACCGCTGGCACCATCGGTCAACACCAGTGCCTCCTCCACCCTGGATGATACTCTCATACCCTCCCCATGTCTAATGTCTAATATCAAGCCTTCTTGCGATGAATGGCCAATGATCACAATCTGCCCATAGAGGACATCCAGGACCCTCAGGATCAATTCCTGGATATCCTTCAGCCTCCAGGCTCCACTCGCAATGCCCTGCCCTGCCCATCCCTAATGTCATTCTCCAGCAGGCATCATGTACACCTACCCTGAAGACAGTGGAACGTTGCTACTTTGTGCCAATCAAGGGTATGGACTTCCTTTTCCAACACCCACTCCGTAACTCCTTGGTAGTCCAAGTGGCCATGGAGCACGCCCAACACCACCACCTCCGCTCTACCCCACTGGATCGTGCAGCCAAAAAACTTGACCTTATTGGGTATAAGGTCTATTCCTCAGCAGGACGACAATTCTGCATTCCCAGTTACGAAGCCATACTGGCCAAGTCTGATTCCCACTCACACGCAACACTGGCCCAATTAATTGAATTCCTCCTCCCGGATAAGCAGCAGGAATTCCAATCTCTAATTGATGAGGGCACAGTGGATGCCGCCAACACCGCTTCCCAGTCACTGGCCCCCGGGGGTGGTACTTCATGGTGACTCATGGCTTCAGTCAAGCGGTTGTCAGACAGAGGTCCAAACAACTTTGCAGGATCTTCCCTTTGACAACAACAAACTATTCAGTGATAAAACAGATGAATCCCTTCACTCCCTCAAGGGCTCTAGAGCCACCTGCCACTCCCTAGGCCTCTACACCCCAGACTCCACACATTGTCAAAAGTTGTCTTCCTCCTGCCCTCGCCAAACCACCTACCAGGCTTGCCAGCCTTACCCCAGCACCAACCCAAACACCCTCGTCGCCGACCATGCTCCCAGCGTCTGCGACAATCTTCAGCTTCTATCTCAGCTGCCTCCATGTTTGCCCATCGCACCCCTAGTCAAAACTTTTGACTCCTGTACAGAGAACTGCAAACTTTCTTCCAACCCACCGACTACGTCCCATGTCATCTTTGGCAGCTGCCTTACCCTTTTTGCCCACTCCTGGGTCTCAATTACCACCAATCGGGGTGTTGGATATTGTCCGCCGGGGCTACCTCAGAGTTTCTTCCTTTCCTCACCGCCACTCTTCCAGTGGTTACACTTTGGACCCCTCCCAATACCACTTCTTCCACCAGGAAGCAAATGCCCTTTTGCAAAGGGTGCTATAGAGCCAGTCTCACACCGCTATCGCAGCCATTGTTTTTAGTCCCCCTATTGCCTCATACTGAAGAAAGGGGGTAGCATTTGCCCTATCCTGGACCTCCGATTGCTCAACTAATTTATCCGCAAGTTCCGCTTCCAGATGGTTACACTCCCCCTGATACTTCTGTGTCTCCTCAAAGGAGCCTGGTTCGCGGATCTTGATATAAAGGATGCCTATTTTCATATCGACATTCATTCCACCCACTGCACATTTCTTCACTTCGTCGTAGGTGATTCTCATTACCAATTAAAGGTCCTCCCCTTTGACATCGCTACGGCACCCAAGGTATTTACCTAGGTCTTCGCCGTCATTGCAGCCTACATGCACCGTCTGGGTCATTCCCTTTTTCTCTACCTCGATGACTGGCTCTTTGTTGCACCCTCTCACACTCCACGCTCTCTGGATATTGCTGACTGATCTTGGAGTCTTCATCAATGAGGAAAAGTTGGTCCTTATCCCCACTTGCAGCCTCATCTTCACAGGAGCGCATCTCGACTCTGTAGTGGCCAGCACATTCCTGCTATCAGAGCGCTTTGCCACAGTCACCTCTCTCACCGCTTGCATTCGCCGCCAACCGTGCACTCATGTCAGGCAATGCCTCTCGCTCCTAGGTCACATGGCGGCTTGCACTGTGGTGACACCCTTCATAAGCCTCCATATGCGCAGTCTCCAACACTGCCTCCACTCAACATACAATCCTTAAAAGGTTCCTCTCACCGAGAGGGTCCTTCTTCCTCCTGTCCTCGTCTCCCCCACGTGATGGTGCACCTCTTCCTCCATGCTGATGGGTGTCCCCTTCATGCCTCCAGTGCCACTCACTGCCCTGACTACAGATGCTTCCATAGTAGGTTGGGGTGCTCATGTCAAAGGACACGTGGCTCAAGGCCTATGGTCACACAGGGAAGCCAGAATGCACATCATTGTCTTCACGCTTTACCCTGTTGTTCACCTAGCCTGCCAAGCCCTTCTGCCATTTCTCTGCACCCATCATGTCCAACTACTCTCCGACAACATGGCGATGGTCTTGTATGTCAACAAGCAAGGGGGGCCCGTTCTCCCTCCCACTGTGCGGAAGCCATTCTTCTGTGGTATTGGTGCCTCAAACACAGCGTCACTCTCCAAGCGGTACACCTCCCCAGTACCAGCAATTCCCTTGCAGACACCCTCAGCTGCTCTTTCCACGCCAACCATGAGTGGGAACTCCTCAATCCCACGCTCCACTCAGTCTCTCGCCAACGGAACACACCCTACTGGGACCTCTTTGCTACAGCAGACAACAACAAGCTACCCCTCTTCTGCTCCAAAGGGGTTCTTGGCCCAGACTCTCAGGGTGATGCCCCTCTCCTTCCATGGACCAACGAGCTCTGTTATGCCTCACTGCCCATCCCCCTATTGCTCCAAGTCCTGCACAAAATACATCTGATCTGGTGAAGGTCCTCCTTGTGGCCCCTGCTTGGGCCCAGCAGTATTGATTTACAGACCTTCTTCTCCTCTTCGCCTGCCCCCCAATCCGCCTTCCCAACCTCCCCAATCTGCTAACCCAAGCCCATGGCCCCATGCAACAGCCTAATCCACGTCCGCTTCACCTAACAGCCAGGTATTTGGATGGAGCTTGAATGTAGACATGGTATGCTCCACTCCCATCTGCAACATCCTCACTCATGATCAATGACCATCCACTAGAATGTCCTATGAGGCGAAATGGCGTCGCTTCACCATCTGGTCCCGTGACCACAGCTATTCCTAGAATGACATTTCCATCCCTGTCATTTTGGATGACCTCCTCCACCTCCAACAATCTGGACTCGCCCATTCCTCAGTTCGTGTCCACCTGGCAGCACTTAGTGCCTTTATCCCTCAGATAGATGGTTTCTCCATCTTTACCCATCTGACTACCATCTGCTTCCTCTGCAGCCTCCTTAATGTCTTTCCACCCATCCATAAGCCAAC